CCACCTTCATATGCAGGGAGTAACTCAAGATGGGAGATGTAGCAATGCAAACAGATGCCCCAACAGATTGTAGAAGGAAAAAATATATAGGGCTTTTGATGAAATCTTTCAACTCTACAGTGAGAATACAGGATGTGGCAATTTGATGTTTTGGAATTATGCAAAGGTTTGTACTGTGTGACTTGGACAGTACTAATTAGAAGTTCATACGCTTTGAACTTGTGATAGACCACACTGCTGATACAGTCAATAGCAGATGGCAGAGAGCTGATCCCCATAGAGTCAAAGTCAAACATTTTTCCATTTAGTTGTGACAGTTGTTTGACTTTGTCTTAGCCTGGTGCACAGCACCTTTTGGTACCTCCCATACAGACAGCATTAAAGCTTAAAGGTGTAGAAATGCCATCTCCAAGCAAAGAGTTTGATCTTATGCAAGATGATAATGCACTGAGAGAAGGTGAGTAAGCTGCTTAAGTTCAACAATCAGAACTAACAGGACTGTGCTTCCTCTGCTCATAATCAGATCTCTGCTAAAACCTCAACCTGGTTTTCTCAGACTCCTTGGTGACCATGAGAAAGGGTACCCATCTTCTCCAGAATAAAAACCATGAGGCTTACTCTGGGCTGTCGAAAACAGACTAATTTCTGAAAACTTCCTTTGCAAAATAAAAACAATTAAAAACATAAATAAAACAGTGCGCCCGAATTCTTAATAGATAACACTGTGTTATGAAATATCCTGAACAATCTAGTTCAGAACAAACAAATTCCAAAACCACAGGACTCCTCACAGAGTAGAAACACCATTGTTTGGTTAGCTCACATAGATATATGCATAACCATTGATTAACAGCTGAGAAGCAGGAAGAACAGTCTGCACATGGGTGAATGCATCACAACTTACAGTCTTCTTGGGGGGAGGTGCACAAAAGGACATCTGTCCCTGCTCAAGCATTTAAAGAAAATTACTTTTTTTTTCCAGCAAATTGACCTTACATTAAGTCCTCTTGGCAAATACACTGATTCCAATTGCCTCTTCATGAAGCCTAGCTCTGGCAAATTTTTTTATTCAGCAGCATGAGATCATGTCTGAGGCATGATGTCTTGGGAGATCCTGAAGCCTGCTGATGCATTGCAATGATTATATGGGATCTTCCTTGTGAGGACAGCAGGAATATAAGCTGGGATCCCCTAAATTCTATTCTGCTGATTATTATTTTTTTAAATGAAATGTAAGCATTATTTCAGCTTCAGAATTTTTCATTCCAGGCTTACTTACTCAGTTCAAGCCAGCAGAAGATAAGCTGCTTGTCTGCTGAATTGCTTCATGGTACCAGCCTTTGACCAGAATTCAGTTAGGCCTCAATTCCTAGTGTTCTTTGTATGAACATTTGAGGGAAGCTCACAGTGGTCTTTCCATGGGAAGGGGCAGGGACATAGCATCAGCAGCAAGATGCTTTTCTAATCTTTCCTAGGTTTTCTTTGTAGGAAAGGATAGATACCTGTCTGTAGGAATTTTACATATCAAATTATAAATTCCTTTCAGAGATCTAACAAAAGAATTATGGAAAATGTACCCTGCAAACTGCAAATCTTTACCTGGTACTAGTTAAGGAACTCTTTCCAATTCCCACTGTATTGTTCAAGAACAAGAGAATGGAGAGGAACAAGATCAGCTGTTATTAAATCCAAAAGATGAAGGAACAATACACACTCCCAAACAAAGTGCTCTATCAGGATGGGTCTCCTCTACACTGGCAAGTCATAGTGACTCCAAAACTGCTGCTTTGGATATCACCCTTTCAATCTCACAAAGAAAGATGACTCTGGTACCTGGCCCACAGATGAAAGGTTCATTTTAGGCTTCTGGCCCTTAGACTACATGTAATACGAGTCAGGAGCCTAATGACTTTCGTGTCTCAACCTGTTAGATGCTGGAGCCTGCAACCTATGCTTTGACTCATCCCTGGAGCAGTGCTCTTTCAGGCAAGATAATCAAGACCTTATTTTTCACAAGCAATACTCCATGTGACAGTGAGCCTCAGGAGGCTTCAACTCACCCAAAAAGATCTGTGAGACCCTGCCATAGTTTTGATCTCGTTCACAAATGTGATATTGGTGGAAAAAGATGATATTAAACAAAGTTGACCAAAACTTCGGACAAGAGTAACACATGCTAAAAAAGTCTGTTGAGTACAGACTGACCAGGTCAGGCTCTGAGTAACAATCTGTATTAAGGTCCAAACGTTACTGGGTACTACCTAGAACTCCCCATACACACACATGCACAACGCTGGAAATAAATTGTTAAGATCTCATAGACAAAAAACAAACTACAGTATCGTAATTGCCAGCTTATTGCTTCATGCCACTGTCTTGACATCCAAACGAGTTTAGTAATTGTTCTTTTGAAGCTACTGATGTTAAAAAAGAAATATCTCAAGTTCTGGAAGTGACTGGGAATTCCAGAATCTAATAGCTGTGCTGGAATTATTCACCCATCAAGGGGTTCAAAAGACACTTTCTGTCAGAACTGAGACATAAATGCATGTCAGAACGACTTGAAACAGAATGACTATAACTCAGAGTTTGGATTTTCTATACACTATGTTCGGAGAGCTTTAAAATGTTTAATTTATTAAACTGACTTTGATACTAGAGGCGTAGCTTCCACTTTAAAGTGTTACAATAACTCAACTGAATGTAGAATGCATTAAGTTTAAATTCCACTGCCACTAAACACTTAGAAAAGATACTTCAGTTTCTGCACTTAAAAAGAAATACGCTGTCCTGGTGAATTTGACATGCAAACAGAAGCTGCATGCATTAATAGCAACAGCCTCTTCTGCTGCACTGTAAGAAGCCATACACAGCAGGAAGGCATTTCCCTACTATTTCAGACACCATCACCACCCCAGCTACAGAGGAAATGCTAAATAATAACCAATCCTAGAAGCTGAACACAACCAGGTCCTAAGAAAAATTCTTCATGTGGGTAGGTTCCATTTTCCAAGAACAGTTCGAGTTTTTCCAGACATTGCTTCAATCTCTCAAGGCAGGCCTGTCATCTGGCAATGCCTCTATTAGTTTCTCTCTGCCTGGCCTTCCTCGAAGTGTTAAAAGAAAGGCCGTGTGTCCAGCTGTTTCTCTTTCACATGCCTTTATTTACCATTCTCTTCCTGTCACTGTCAGGTCTTAGTGTTAGAAGCGTTCCAGTCCTACTTAAAACTATGCTGACAATGCTGCAGAGGCAGTAGTAGCAGTGAAAACTACTCTTAGAACAAAACCATACTCCATTAAGTGCACCTTATGCCCTTTGAAAAGGCAAGTTAGTGTTGTGGGATCAGGAAACTCATGAAATCACTCTCCACAACACAGTAAAAAAGAGCTGATGGAAACAAAAGCTTAGCAAGACAAAAGAAATTATCTAAATAAATGCTTCAGCTGTGAATTGCTGTTACTAAAATAGCTCAAAATAATGGGCAAAGGTGGCACTGGAAATCAGTCATGTGATAGGACAATAATTAATAGAGGGAATTGCTCGTGAAGCAGAAAAGGAGAATTGGCTTGCTTGAATTGCAGAAAGGATCTTTCTGTCTTTCTGGGTCCTTTCTAAATGAACCACTTAACTGAGATTCAACTAGAGTGACAGGATGCCACCAAGACATCCTCTCATGGACTAGCATGAGTATTTCCATTCACTGTAAGATTCTCTTTAATTTCTTTAGGTCTCAAAACACGAATTACAAGTCTCATTGTGATGGAGAATACCATTTAAATCATTTATGTGATCACCATCCAAAAAAAGTGATCTCAGTGCTAGTAAGGTGACAACGCTGCCAAATGCCTATGGCCAAGGATCTGATAGATTGCACTGCACTTCTCCCACTAAGCCCCCATGCACTAATCCATCTGTCCTGTTAGACTGAGCCACCTCTCTGCAGAAGGTCACACATCAAGGGGGCACTGAGACCCCTTTGTGTCTTCTGCTCCTATGAAACCATAGACCTATGCTGACTATACTATGCAGAGCTTCTTTTCTGCCTTAGCAGAGCAGATCTGAGAAAGAGGAGTACAAGTGGGTGGGGAGAAAGGGGAGCTGTGCCTTAAAATTCTTCCACCTCTACTCATACGCTGGTGAGGAAAGACCACGAAGGTAAAAGTTCTTGTTCTAGAGTAGCTATAGAATAATGCTGCAGACACAGTCAACCTCTGATAACCACTTTTAGAATTACAATATCCTGCCATGTTTATCTGCCACCACCACTATGAAACATTCTCATGCTATATGTTCAGTGAACCCGTTTTCTTAAAACTGCACTTCTATTACATATATTCTATATACATACAACCCTTTACTCATGCATTCAAAAGCTTTCTAATTATTTAATTCCATTAAGTTACCAAAGCCACATATTTTCCATTTAGAAGATATATAAAGTGAGAATGTGAGAATTAAAGAGTCTAATTATCTGAAAAAGTCCTAAGATGCTATAAAAAGTATGAAGTTAATGCTGTCCTATATTTTGTTACATATAACCTCATGTGACATATCTAAGAGTATACTTTCACAATACAGGAAAAAAGGTCTCCAAAAGACCAAAAAAAAAAAAAAAAAAAGTGAAAGGTTAAAAAAAAAGTGAAACAAAACAAATATCCCAACACCCCCAACTTCAGACTTAAATGCAGTATTTGTACAGCTTTTGATTGTAATAAACCACAGAATGTATGCCGGGCAAAGAACTATGGTAGAAAGTCAGTGTTCTTTACTTTGTTTTAGTATGTAAACACAGGGATCTGCAAAGATGCCATTTGTATGAAACACAGTGGATCAGAGAAAGAAAAGTCAGTCTCTAACCTCCTATGAACAAAGAAACCTAATTTCATTCTGAAACAAAAGGAACTAAATTTATCGCTCTAAGAGAGCCCCAGGACGTCCAAGCATGAAATTGAAGAAAAGGAGTTGCCAAAGACATGCAGAACAATCTTTTTAAAGTTACCTGGAATCAGGATATTTTGTAAGCGTGGCCAAGCTGCTGGTATACATGTGCCCACCCACATCAATGTGAACTGGTGCGTTGGATTTTGTGAGTTGTGCTGGAGTGGGGATGCCTTGATTGTTCAATGGAGATGCAGGGGATCTAGTGATCAGAGGTCTTGACATATTGGGCCGACTGTCCTGTGAAGAGATAGACCCGGATTAATGATCTTCTTGAAAACCTCGCAGAAACCCACAGTCTCCAGTCAACAGTTCTGTTGTAGCCTCAGCTTACCATTTTCATCTTATTAAAGCACAGATAAATCTTTGGCAGTTTTTAAAATCAATCCACTTGTAAAAGTCTTAACTGGCTGCATTTCAAATAGGTAAAGCGTGGCAAAATGCAGCGATCGAGCCCCCAAAGTAGAAATCACATTTGATACAACAAGTTCCTCCTGAACACTGCTCATGACAGACAACCCACACAGAGAAGAGAAAGAAGCTCATTCTCGTACTTCAGAGCTGATAAAGTCTCTGACAAAAGCACCACGAGCCGCAGACAGAAAGCCTAAGAACAATTACTATTTTCTTTAATTAAAACCCACAGGTAGAATTTATGTTCCTTCCCAAGCCCTCAGTCACTGCAATGCACTCAGAAGAGAAATACGAACCCTCAACTCCTCCATTCTGCACACTCTTCTCTTGAATTTCCAACTCACATAGCACAGAAACAGGAGCAGAAACACCTGGACTAGTCAACTGTTCACGCACTGCACACCGCTGGACATCGGCAGCCTTTGAGAAAGACATCTTCCATTTAAAAGTTACACGGATGGCGAGAGCTGCCCCTGCGTGCCCCACATAGGCGGCGGGTCTGAGCGGCTTCCCCAGGCAGGCGGGCTCCCAAAGTGGAGCGGGAGCTGATGCTGATGAAACCAACTTTTAGTCACAAAGGCAGGGATGTAACGCCAGCAAGCAGCGTGCTCCTCGTCTGCGCGCCCGGCGGGGTGGGGCAGGGCAGAGCCATTTGCCCGAGCCAGTAAGGCAGGCTGTATTCAAAGCTGGGGATTAAAATAGAAATGCGTTCGAGAGCGGTTTTGGGACGACCGCGCTTTCTGCTGAAGGAAAGCTCCACACTGGTGGAATCTTATAGAGATGCCCTGAGAAATAAAAGCCCTTGCAAATTATGCAGTTTTACATTTAAAAGGTAAGCAAAGCAGTGAGAAGTCAGATACACTTCATCACAAAACTCTCTTTGTTCTTTCAACACGTCTTTTAGCTGCAAAACCTAATGGCTTCTTTGTAAACATCTCACAGATCTGGGTACTAAGCCTCGCTGAAGCAGAGTTACGGGGAATTTGGACTGGCGAAGCCCTTTGCTGTTGAAAACATGTATGTTTTTCATGGCTGTTAAAGATTCAAACCATAAAGGCAACGTGAGCCAGGTAAACGTCTAACCCAAATGATTTACAGGCCAGCGTTGCACAATAAATCCAAGTAATACGTAACAAAAGGCATCTATAAACCACAAGGTACTTAACTAATTTTCTTTCATATACAAAAGCAAGCTTTGGTCAAATACTGATAAAAATGAAGAGGATGAAGAAAAACGCCTAGTTTAGATGTTGGAGTTGGGGGGAGTGCTGCTTGTTTTGCTTTTTTTTTTCTTCTCCTGTTTCTACATAAGCAGAAGTTAATATAAATTTGCAGAAATACCACTCTTAATTACTACAATTGCTTGAGGAGGTGCCTGCAGCACAATGAAGACAAGTCCAGACAAAATACGGTACACACGCTATGCAAAACTAATGTCTGCTATAAATGCTATGTGGTACAACCACCACCCAAGATGTTAGTGATCTGCAGCAAGGTACTTAGCAAAATAATGAAGAAAAAATTAAAAATGATGACTGGAAAAGTGGAAATAAGAAGGCAAGAAATGATACTGACTGAGGATAAAGTGTGCACAGTGGGGTACAGAACGCATTCCAGTGCTCAAAAGCAGGCAAACAATTTGAAAAGCCAACAAAGAAAGCTGAGACTAAAAAGAAAAATAAATTCTGTAACTTGTATGGAATAGACAGCATCACCCCCCTTACTGGGATCCTCTCTGTCAGAAAAACACAGCCCTGTAACAATTTAGCAGACCGCAGCACTGTGGAGCCTGTAACAGTTTTTCAATTGGACACATTCTCCTGTATATCCTGCCCAGGGCTGCTCAGGAGAAAATGAACAGATTTTCAGGGTTAATATTGTAGTTAGGCTGGGACCTCATTCAGCAGAGCTGTGATAATGCTGGGCATATGAAACAGGAGGAAAAGGCATAGGAAAAACATCACCACAAGTATGGGAAATAGCTCAAAAGACCATGGGCATTTCACAAGACAAAAAAAAAAGGTAAGAAAACAGAACTGGTTTCCAAAAGTGAGACATAACCAAGCAGCCCTGTACACAGTTTACCATTAAAACTCCCAATAAATAAATATCTAGAACTATATTAAAACCATTGATATTTTATTTCACCGTCCTCCTTCTCAACATTACCCCTTCAAGCTAATTACATCATTCTGCCTCAAGAAACAATGCTCGAGTGTTCAACATTTAGATACTAAATACAATAACCTAATGCTGCTCCAGTCCTAGCTTACAAAGATGAAACTCATTCACTACTCCTTTGGCGACCACTGCGAAATTATGCAGCGGTAGCTCTGCTATTCCACTACTTTTGTCCAGTTACCCTTGAGAAATTGATGCAGAAATGGGATTCAGAGAACTGAGTGATTAAAAACCAACTTCTTCTGTGTGGCACATCCCAGCCAGCATAGCAGAGAAGATCATTGTTCAACAGGCATGGTGTTAGACCACTCTGCTTAACAGATTGGAGTTAAATTGTTGTATTAGTTCAGCTATGGAGACAATGAGTTAGGAAGATAGTCCCCCTGCAAAAACATCCAAAACTATCACAAATATGAATTGAGCAAGCTTAGATAGAAAAAAGTGGTTACAGTTAAGGCACTACTGGTAAATTAAACTTCCACTAACCTGCAGTAATTACAAATACCATTCCTTAGAAACAATTAGAGGAGTGAAGGGAGTCGTAGAAACCAAACTCAGCGGGATCCAACCGATTACAAGCCATTTAAAACAGCTGGTAACAAAAACAACCAAAAGGCTCCTCGGCAGCCTCCCTTGGTGTGCTCTGTCTCACGTAGGTCCCTGTGCTCAGGAAGGGTTTGTACTTCAACCATGGCTGCTCCCATATGGGAGGGAGATTATGCAGGTGGTTTTCTGCCTTGGGAATTGCACTGACTTCATTCATGAGTGGGACACAAAGCACAGCCAGCATCTGTGCTGGCTGTAGGATCAGTAATCTTCCTGCTCTGCTAGCAGTTCACTTTTCCACTTGGTATATTTCCTTTACAAATATTTCAATATTTACTATGAAAAAATTAAATAAGAACAGGAAATCCCAAGTTTCACAACACTTCCCGTGGACTGAAATACTTGAGATACTTTGTGAAATATTTGTCATTATTTCTACTCCAGTATTTTGATCCCAACAACTTTTCAATTAATGAGTTCCGATTTCAAACAAACTTATTGCTCAAACTACATACTCAAAAGAGCTACTAAAAGCTATATACTGGGCAGGTTAAAGATATTTAAGTTTTACAAGATGCTGCAGTTTCGGTTCAGCACACAAAAGTACAATTTGGTTCTCCTCTGTTTCCCTGCTGTTACTAGAGGGAGCCTTCAAATAACAAGCAGTTGGTAGGTCCAGGTCTTTCGAGTACATCTGAATCCACTTCTCACTTTCTGCCCTATGTGAACCATCATGTAGAGTCAACAGAACCAAAAGTAGCCTTATCTGAACTCTTTCCTGAATCTACAAAAATCCTTAGGACCAAGAAGGCATTCTGCCAAACGGTACTGAGGGTCACGGTGGAAACCTTTCAGATCTCCTCACTCCCTGCCTTTTTTTTCTTTCTCACCAACTAAGTCAAAAAATATTGCTAAAGAATAAGCATTTACATCCAGGCTGGAAAAAAAAACCAAAAAACTGTAGGACTGAGATGTGCACCAGAACATCCAGTCTACCAAAGAACAACACAATAACCACATCAACGTGGTGGCAATTGGAAGAAAAAAGAAATATCTGAAGAATATAAGGTATTACAATGTACTGCTAAGAGTACTAAATCAAAGAGACAAGATGCTCTGAAAATATTCGCTCATGTTAGGCTGCTCTGATTAGGAGTGGTTTCAGAAGTGTTATTTACACTCTGTGGTCTTAAGCAAAGTCATTTCAGTTCCCTTCTCATGCCAAGAACCTTGACAAAAACCACACCACTACAAGACAACCCAAGCTCACTCACTGTATGATCAACATTCAAGTGCAAAACATCTACTTAACTCCCATGACCAAGAGGATCATTTCAGACTGTGGGTCAAGGCATATCTGGCCAGGGTTAATAAAGCAAACACACTGCCCATGAGCCAGCCCAGCTCAAGAAGAAACGTATAAATGCTACTCAGTATGCTTCAGTTCTAGTCTTTGTACCAAACTGTAAAGTACTGGATCCTCCCTGTCACAGTTCAAACAATTATCCCTGTTGAGAAACTCACAGTTACATACTTCAAACATTCTTGGATTTTTCAGGGGGAGACAAGGATAACTTGTCTCACCCAGGCAGGCCAGAAGAAATGATAATGTAACAGTTCATTGTAACACATCCAATCATTATATTTTCTTACAATAGAAAGCCGTAAGAGATGTTTCTCTCCACAGCTTCGTGTTGAGGAACCACCTGACGTGGCAAAAGTAGTCAGCATAGTCACACCAACAATTTCCAGCAGAAACATCTTTGACTGCACATATCCCACCGTGTGGAAAGTGAATCCAAACAGCTAAAAATCTTCCAAAGATAGAGGCACAAGGGCTTTTTCCTTCAGTACATAGCAGGAACCATTCAAATCTCACAGTCAGCTGTGCTCCTTGACTCTGAAATAACAGTGGGCTGATCCTCAGGGGAGCTTGCAGTGATGCACAAAACACTGCTTCAAGTCCCTCATACAAACCAAGAACATTAAGATGACTCTGATTTGGCTCCTGCAGAAGTGTCCTCATTCTGAGGAGACACTTTTTTCAAAAGAAACATTTCATTAAAGATTAAAAAAAATCGCTATCATGTCTCACCACAATGCTTAAGCAAGTACCCTCCACTTTTTTCCAGTTCAGCAGAAACAGTCACCACAACAAAGAGGCTGGAGAAAGCATTTATTCAATATAAACAGTATCAGTACAGTACAAACAACTCCTCTAGAAGGTGTAACAAACACAAAGAGATACAGAGCTATGTGTCCAGGAAGCTTGTTCTGCTGGAAGGGGAAAATCCTCCAGGCTAGTGACATCCTCACAATGAGCTCCCTGGTTTTGGCCATGGTACACCACGTCCACACAGAACACCAGGTTGTGCTAGCCCCTCAGACAGACCTGCAAGGTTGTCAGAGACTGTACACAGCACAGAGTATGCCAGATGCTTTTCAGTCTCCTAATTGCAATGGCAGTGCCTTCTCTTCATCTTCATTCTGAAGAACAGACACAAAGAAGTGGTTCAGACCCTTTGCAAAAAGTCTTTACGCTTTTTGCACTTCACACATATCAATGCTCTTTTTTCTTCTTCTTCTTCACCTTTGCACTGATGGTAGCTCTCTGAGGAGATGTCTGGGCTGTAATGGTGCCATCAGGTCTGCAAAACAAAGAAGTAACGCATCACCTTCCCTGGCAAAAATCTGCCGATTGTGCTGTAATGTTTTGCCTTTCATCAATATAATCTGAATGCTCTTTCCCTTGCAGCTGCAAGCTTTAAACTGCTGACTCTGAACATTAAGAATTACGTTTATAAAGCAAAACTCCAAAACAATTGTTTGAGTGCTGTGTGAGAGACAGGCCCAAAACACCATCAGATGCAATTTAGTGCCACAGTAAGTTGAGATACTAGGCCCCCTGAGACTCAGTGGTAGTAGTAGAAGAATTATTTTAGATCTCTGGAGGAAAAACCTCATTTTACATCCGGAATGCCTGTCAACATGTGATGGAAGACTAAATTATTCTATACAAGACAGTCAAGTACAACAGAGAGCTTGAGAAGTCAGGACAGTTTCTCTGAGATGCTGAAGCACTGAGTGCAGCACAAGACCAACTACTTTAACAAGCAGCACTCTGCCTACAACCACTGCCATGTCTGCAGCACTCAGTACAATTTGCAGAAATACAGACAGCAATGCATTTCACAACAAGGTGTGTGACAAGTGACTGCCTGAGAGAAGTCAGAGATACTCAGAGGGTATCACAGCCTGGGAAAATGGTCCAGGCCATCAAAAGGCCATCAAAGGCCATCATCTTTGCCCAGAGAGGCTGTGGATGCCCCATCCCTTCAGGTGTTCAAGGCCAGGTTGGAAGGGGCACTGGGCAGCCTGGTCTAGTATTAAATGTGGAGATTGGTGGCCCTGCCTGTGGTGGGGGGTTGAAGCTGCATGATCCTTGAGGTCCCTTTCAATCCAAGCCATTCTATGAGAAGATAAAGATATGCTGAACCAACTCCTGGAGGTGAGATCATCTGTATCATGCAATAGTCCAAACAACAAAGGTGACTGAGGCTTACCTGACAGGACAGTTTGCTGCTATGTCCTCCTTGTCCCAGAGGTGCTGACCCCAGTGGGCCCTCAAGACGAGTCTCCCTTGCTCCATATCCTACATGCTACTCTCACAGCCTCCTCCACTGGATGCAGGCACGGCTGGGCACACCAGCCTGTGAAGTGCTGCAAGAGCTGGAGAGAACATGGTTGAATTTCCTTGGCACAATAAGTCTTACTGGAACTTCATCTGAGTTGATCAGACCTAGAATAAACACCACAGGTGCAGAGAACCAAGGGCAAGGCAAGATCTAGAGTATGAGGGGTATTTCTGCTGGGTGGAGAGCACTGCCTACCTGGAGGTTCAGGACAGTGAAGAAGTCTTGAAATCTTCAAATCTTGAAGATTTGAAAATCCCAACATCAACATGCAGGTAGACAGTAGTCGAGCCTGCAGCACACACCTAACTTCAGCAGAACAGCTCTAACCACAATTTCATCATAGACTGACCACTGAGAACTTAAGAAAATCTCTAATTAATTTGAGAAGGAGGCTTTAGGAATAAGGGCAGGAGCTATGCTTATACCATCATTGCAGCAAAGGCAATTCCAAATTCTAGTAAAAGTAAAGTTTACAGAGACAGGATTTCTCTCTTCAAGTGCCCAGAAATTTTTCTGAAGATTTCCCTAGGCCTTGAAACTGCATGCGAAAGTTTACCACTGCCCCTCAAGATATTCTATAGTTTGCAGTCTTTATGGAAGATTAACTCAGCCCCTTGCTTGTTTGGGTAAGCATAACTGAGGCCAGACCAAATGCTTTCATTTATTACATTCAAGCACTGTAAGTAAAGCTCTATACTTCTGTATGTCCTACTCTCTTCTTGCCATATACACCCTCTAAACACTGGTCAAGCCAGTGGTAAATGTGGCTGATGTAGGACTTGACTTAAGCCTATAGCTCAAGCTGGATCTTCTGCATATATGCTACCCAACACGCTATTAAAATAAAATCCATGTTAAACTTGGGGGTCAAGCTCAGGTGCATCACCTCCTCCGGCACACAGCCTCTAGCCACTTTGCTTTCTGTAATGGAAGCGGACTTCTATGGTCTTCAGACTTGCTGCTGGTTGGATTCTCACTTGGGAAAAGAGGCACTGTAATTTACAAGCAAAACCGGATTTGAAAGCTGCTCTCAATTACTACACAGCACACAACTGCCCACCCAACACTGTATAATCACAGGGTATACAACCCAGACTGCGGCCAGCAAAACCATCCCCTAAACCTTCGGGAGGATGAAGGAGGGCACCAGACCGAAGGCCAGCAGACCTGCTGCACCACCTCTAATGGAGTCCTACAATGGGAATGGGACACATGCATGCAATTTTAGACCGTTTGTTCCACTAGGAGCTGATTTGCTCTACACTAGCTTCTACTCAAACTGACAGTAACATTGATTTAGGAGTGACCAAAAGGAAGAGCAACTCCCCAGCCTGAGCCTCCTCTAACTACATGTGCCCAGCCCCAAATACTTGAAGGTATGCATAGCCAGGTACCTCCTTCTCATGCTTTTGTTCTCACAGACAGAAAGTGGATCCTGCCAGGTACTGCAGGGACTGCTACAAGCCACCAATTGCCAACAGATTCCTCAGCCCCAATGGAGACAGACTACAGTTATCTTGTACACATCCATGCAATTATTTTTATTTATTTATATTAACAAAAGGAAACACAGAGATGAGGAGTCCCTGGGAAAGAGGCTGCAAGGTCTGAGGAGCCTTGCACAGTCTGGCAGCCCTGCCCACAACACTCCAGCTGATACAAAAGCCTTTGCTTCCACTGCCCTGAGGACAACTTCATTTATTTTTCTTTAAAGCTGGAAAATAGGTCACTCATTTCTCTTACCTCTATCAAACCTCAGGTAGCAGAAAGAGGGTGAATTTACCCATAACTGTACGAAAGCAAGCACACAAAGAAGTTTTGCCTTCTGGCAGAGGGCAGATGACAGACCAGTTCTCCTTCATACAAGGCCTTAGCTGTTCCAGCAGCAGCCTTGATCCAAACGCCATGGACCACCTCATCCTGGGTGCAGAGGTGTGGTCTGCCGTGCCTTTGCAGACAAGATACCTTCCCTGGGACTCCACTGGTGCTCTCACCTCCTCCCTAGAAAAGACAGCCACCTGGGCAGCTGCCCCCAGGCTGTGCTGGGAAGAACCCAGCACAGAGCAGCCAACAGTTCCTGCTGCAGCAATGCTATACCACAGCCACCTTGGCCCTGAGTAGTACACAGAGTTCAGGTCAGGAATGGAGGTGGGAAGGAGCAGCTCTGAACACACGAATCTGCCATCCACTCCTCCCAAGTGGACACCCCATAGGTTAAGCTGAATAAATAATTTCACTCATACTTCTCACTCAGGTCCTTTATCCACTTCCAGCAGGCACTCTGAGCACATTCTGTAGGAGTCTTCACATATGAAAAAAAAAAAAAAGAGGGAAAAAAAAAACAAAAACAAGCAACACAACGCTCCCTCCTGAGCTTAAAAAGGGAAGAGCTTTTCTTGGCCAGGACCATGCAGGTACATTTGAATGCAAACTTAACTCTTTAAAGATGGTGTCAAAATTTGAACGAGGAGAAAAACTAACTGGCTACATTCTTCATGAGTCTGCAATTTGTCCAATAATCTCCCGGTGAGAAGAAACACCAAAATACAAGCATTGCTAAAATCCGGCTGTTTTGTTTGTGAGTTAAGATCCTATCAGCTGTACATGAACAAAGATTAGCATCTTGAATTGCAGTCATATCTGAAGATTTTAAAGACTCATAAGAATGCAGACTACAGTGGGATAACTGGAAGATTGTCATTAACTGTCAGAATTTGAAAAATGGGCCTTTTCTGCAAATTTGACTCGCAACCCCAACAGAAGTAGGCCCACACTACTTTATTTAAAGTTAATTTACACTACAGTTTGAATAGCACCTGCCCTTGGGTATGTTCCAGAGGAACGTCTCCCTTTTCACAAAGCCAGGCTAACACCCATTGTAAAACTTCCAGAGGCACATTAGATGTCTGTTCTCCCCCCAGCAATTTCACCCTTAGAAGTAGAAGGAACGCTGCCAGTTACAGCCTGTGCTGAGGAAACATGAGTTATAATTTACCCTGGGAAAATTGCTGAACTGGGAGCTTCTGGTGTGGCATAGGTCTTGCCTTCGCAATCCAATGGTTCTTTTGATTCAGAGAGGCTTTGAAAGGGTGGTGATGAAAAACATAGCCTCACCCTTTGAATCAGCCAGCTGCCTGCTTTCCTTTGCACTTTTAAAATTTGTTTTATTAATTTGCCTGGGAGCAGAAAGAGATAATACTGACCCATATGGAGAAGATGCATTTTTGGACATATCAACAGAATATTATCTACTTCAGACTGAACAAGCAGCCAACAGAAAGAACCACCTTCATATAGCCTGAAGAATTTTATATCTGGAATCACCTTAAGAAAAAAAAAAAGCGCCTCTGTTAGCTCTTCCTGCCATATGAGAGGGACAAATCCTAAGAATCCAATAAAACTGTTTCTATGAAACGCTGTAATGCACTTGAGCTCTAAGCACTCTCCAGATGTTTCTTGCAGCAACAAATAATAAAATATTCTCAGTCTGAATTGTAATTTTGAAGACACTGTGTCCACTCAGTAATTATGAGACTAGACAATATAACAGACAGATAGCTTCATCTATAACCTCACAGCAGGAAAAAAGGACACAAAAGAGCTTTAAGACAATACCTTTGTAATTATCTAATTTACAATTAAGATGTCAACAAAATTGCAAGTTTGACAGTTAGAGTTCAAGCTAGTACAGAATTTGAAATACCATGGAAAACTGCAATGCTACATTATACATCCTTCACTCCAGGAAGGATGAAATGCAACACTATAGCCAAAAAGAATCAGCCTTCAGGAATCCTCTGTTGTCACAGGCTTTTCCTTCTCTCTATCGCCCATTTCCCCTCCCAATGCTGACCTAAGCAAAGCGGTGGTGCCACCTCAAAAAAAAAAAAAGGTTCTCTACCGAAAACCTGTCAGAGTGGTAAAGACCAAGAGGGTGAAGGAAATGATAAAGACCAAACTTACTGAAACAACAAGCTTTTCGGAAGTCCTGGTTAATGCAGAGTGCAACAAGGAGAGTTTAGTCAGCTCTAAAATGATCCCATGCATTTCCAGGTCTGGCTAAAAGTTTCTCTCTTCTCTTGTAACTCTCATTAAAATTATCAGCCTACATATTTCATAATAAGCAGGAGAATGAAAAAGTCCAAGCACTATCATGAGAGAAATCGCCTTATTTATCATTAGCTATTTCAAAACACATGTAGGTTACTTAATACCTTGGGACAGGCGGCATAACAGCACACAGGTGCTGGGAGAGAAATCAGGCTTATGTTGAAGGCACATATACAAAGTGACAGAAGATGGTTGAGGTATCTCAGGAGCAATCCTAGCAAGCTATGGACGCACCACTGCATACAGGAGCTGAGTAAACAGCCCTCAGCCACCCAGATACTTTCCTACCCCTGCTCCATACCGAAACTCGGATGCTCTCTGGATCTTAAAGCCGTCATAGGAGGAGGTATTGCTTTGAGGCAACTAGTGGAAAGGGGCTGAAGTCCTCAATTAAACTTAAAAGGCTTCATTAATGCAGTACTTTTTAGTTTGCTTCTACCCCTTTTCTATTTTGTTTTGTTTCAGTTTTTTTTTTTTTTTTTAAGTTTTCTTAAACATCGGAAAAACACTTAGGGATGAAAAGAGAAAAAGAATGGTATCCACACAACTGTGAGGTCAAGCAGTGACTTTTTTGCATGGTATGAAGGGCAGGATTTGAGAAGAGGAGAACACAGGATCCTGCTCTAGGAGAAGAGAAGCGTGCTTGGCAAGACGGCAAACATATGGCATAGGAACAAAGCATACTTTAGATTTGGTTCATTTGATTCCATTATGTGTAAAAGATATCTTTGGATCCAAGGCTAAGAAATACAATTCTGATTATTATTGTTTTCAGACCTGTAGGGATTCCTCCAAGTAGTCATAGTAGCTCATACGATAAAAACACTCATTTGCCAGCTAATTTTAGTGCATTTTGCCCACAAGGGTGGATTAACCACAAATCTATATAACCATGTGCTGTATGCACGCTGAAGCCACCACTGCTATCACCAACTTCATGAAGCAGCAGCTGACTAACTAGTTTTAGACAGAATGGTTTCTGTTAACTAGCTCA